AAAAAAAACGGTTTTGGGGAGAGATCAACGCTTTTTCGCCGTTGCTTTATCGCAAATGTATTTGGGTGATGTTGATACATAGAAAATGTAAGTTTTTGTTCGAATATATGAAGCCGGAATATTAAAAATTTCAAAACACGAATGATCTCGAGAGGCTACTCAGAGCAACTAGTAGAAAAGACCCTGTGAGAAATTAAATATAAAGGGAGAAAAGAAGCTCTAAAACGGAAATCGAGAATGCCCAATAAACTTCTTCCCCGTTTCACGCAGTATTAACTGTCATTACCAAAATTTGAAAAGCATAATCTCGGACAAATGGCATTTTTAAATACAAATACTCCGAGATATACTCAAGGACCCTTGATCTATTATAGAAAAGGAAAATCCATTACGCGATGTACATTTCACAATAAACCTCACGAAGGCAACGGAGTTTATCGGTAGATTTTATCAGATATTTCACGGTTATTCAAACAAAAAATTACATACTCCACCAACATTGCCCAAATCCATTTGCGATAAAACGACGGTGAAAAAGCGTCGATCTCTCTCTAAAATCATTTTTTGTACCTCGAAACAACTTTTCGCTAAACATTTCCTTCTACCAACTTGCAATGTTTGTCCCCTGCCGAACCCAGAGTTCTTTGCGCAAACACGGGTATCCAAGCTGCACGCGAGGAAACGCGAGCGAAAGCGAGCGAGCCACGCGAACGCAAAACAATAACACGCAAAAACGCAAAATGCTCGGTTCACTCTGACTCTCCCTAGGAGCAACTGAATCGCAAATTAGGAGAATTTGTTTAAAATTCTTTCTATTTTGTGAGCTATTTTCATTCTGACGACATCAATTTTTAAAGCTATTTTTAAAATACCAAAATTACAAGAGAGACCGTGTCTTACAAGGCGATGCTGGTCACGCGCCGTTAACCAAATCTCCAATCACTAAGTAGAGAGTTAAGAAACGGTGCGTACGAATTTCGTGCTGTTCGGAAAAGGAGAAACAAAATACTCGAGATTTAAAATCAAAGGAGTGTGCAACGCGATTTCGAGTGAAATCGTAATTATGTATGCAAAGCACAGAAAAAAATATGCGATTCAGAGGGAAAAAAAAGTGTGATTCGTGAATAATTTGAACTGCTGAGAGCTATTCAGATTGCAAAGATCATCAGTGATTTCAAAATGGATGTAATAATGAACGGATATCCAATACGGTTAACGTCAGTTTAATTTTGGCGCGCGAGAGCTTTGTTCTAGCGGTAAAGCTTCTAAAGAAATTGCGAAAATCGTGAATTCTGGCGTGATTGTATCTCTGACGGAGTGCGCTTATGTAAGGGCTGTTTTTTTTCTTGCGACTCTGACATCAGCGAAAACATAAGGGCAAGTAATCTCTCTTCC